GTCTATATCGTATCCTGCGATCACTACAATGCTATGCGAACAACGGACATGGCTGTGTAAGTAATAAGTCAATGACTATGTAAACTCTACTCTGTCTTACCACTGCATCCTGGGCACGGCATGATGAAAGAGAGTCGGAACCTTGGTTACTGGTATAGTACTTGATAAGACCGGCGGCGCTCAACGAAGAAATAAAGTCAACTGAAATTTCCAAGCGCTTCTTCTTCCTTTTATCAACCAACGTTTGCACTAACCCCGCTACCCATCACCCCAAACTAGTAATCCCCTGTGTAGTCATGACTCGTGAAGGGTTCATGCGTAGTACTTGCGATCGTGAAGGCTTCGTGCAGCGCGAGCTTCGAGCAAAGGCTGATTCCATTCTTCTTCTATGTTTGTGCTTTGCACTTAGCGTCGCGGGTAGTTCGTGCCTTGTGCAAAGAGCGCTTGGCGCAAACCATTACCCATTCAACTCTGTGCACCCTTTGCACACGGCTCCGGTTGCTGCACACTTCTCTTGCGGCTTTTGCACAAGGCGCTCGAAATGACTATGTAAGCAGTGCCAGTACACTAGCCAGACAGCGAGCGACTTTAGGGAGCTTCGTGCAATTCCTATTGACCGATTACATCGTCGACATCCCACCTATAACCATGACTGTAATCTTCACTGGAAGTAGAAGGTTGTCGATCGACTGAACTATTCGTATTCCTTCTGAACTAAGAGTCTGAGACTGAAGACAGTCATATCAAGTGGTGACTGTACATGACTGTACTTCTTTGCCTGCTTTGGCTTCGAGTATCAGTATGCGCGCGTTTTGTGTCTGTGGCAGTGTGGGAAATGCGGAAATATGCGACACTGGTGCGGAAGCGTTGCATGCACAGCAGTGGAACTGTTCACCGACGCGATGCGATGGCTCAGACCTGACCACGAGTACTTTCAGTTTCACTTTTCTACGATCGTCTTCGAGTTTTGACCTACATTGTACAATGATTTATACATGCAATTGTTAGATTGACAGCATGAAACAAGGAGGAGGGCACTGTGTTCGAAAACAGTGACCTTACTACAACCTTCCGCGGTTGGCAGAGCCCCAGTGTCCTCCTCCTTGTTTCATGCTGTCAATCTAACAATTGCGTGAACTACAACAAGGTTGATGGTTTACCAGTTTTTGGATTATATCATGATTTAAACATGTACACAGAAGCCTTGCTTGGTTGCTTGGTAACATGTTTTTCGATTTTGACAGCATGTTTAGTATTGTTACAAGGCGAGGACGCGTAGTGCTCCTGACTACAAAATGTAGTCAGGAGCACTACGCGTCCTCGCCTTGTAACATGCTATCAAAATCGAAAAACATTGTACAGTACAATTGTACAGTATGTACACGATTGTACATGTACTTCAATAATTATTATGTCATGTGCATGTATGTATCATTGTATGTACCAGAGGATGTACCCATGACGTCCATGTATGTACATGTAAGTAATAATCCGTACCGGCAAGAGTACATACCCCCCCCCCCGGACTCGGGGGGGGGGTATGTACTCTTGGTACCGGATCATCATTTCAACCAGACTTTCAGTTAAGATTTTGTAGTTTCAGACTGGTAAACCGTGCCCTTTTGGGGTTTTGATGCCAGGTTCTGGAAAGCTCATTGCCATTGGCGAGTGCCTATGTCTCTATTTTTGCTTGGGGTTATGTAGTCACTTGATACTATTTGGGTTAGGATCTGCAGTGCTGGTCAAAAGGAATCCAGTTGACTGGGTCGGTGTCGCGCCAGGAGCTGTGCAGCCACAGACCTACACTGAGCGCTGGGCAATAGACTGGTGCAGGGTGCTGTCGTATTCACTATTCATGAAATCAAATTTCACGTTTTGTTTGTATTTAGACTACATCTCCCGGCCCGTCAGAAGACTGTCAATTATTGAGTTCAGACGAAGCGCAAGAGCCACCCATGGCAGAACGGAATACTGTTTTTAAACTGCCTAATGTTCGTGGCGTATAAAATATTCGCTATTTTCACAGGAAGAGTGTATTAATGTCTAGATCTAATGTCTGCACCTCTGCAGCAACAATGAGTTTACATGACTATATCCTGGAATTTCTCTGTGGCGGACAGCCATACGTGACCCTGGCAGCCTCTGGTTTCCATCATGTACTGTAAATATACAATACAAAATTTCGGCGCTGCAAAATTTCGGCACTTCACGATTTTTGACATTTCGGCGGCGATTTATTTTCAGCGTGGGGTAGAGGGCATGGTATAGTGCGACAGATGCTGTGAAAAATTTCATCGGCTCATCGGCGTTTTAATTTAGGCGTTTTGGGTCGGTGCCGAATATAGCCGAAATTAAATAGCTGCCGAAAATTTGTATATTTACAGTAAGTAGTCTTGATGTTGGTGAAAAATAGTAACCTAGAAAATAGTAATCCTGACTGTAATTGGGAATGTAATAATAATCATGTTCGTCTATTCAGCGCGTGCTGTATTGTTTGTTGGCCTGGGGTTCCGACCACTCAAACTTTTCACAGCATTATACATCGGGCTGGTTTGAAAACGATAAAACCGGGCGGGATGAAGTACATGTATAGATGGGGGCTAGATCGGTCCTGTTCTGTCTCTTTCCGCTATTCATGTTCGCTGTATGGCCAAACTATGTCATGTACAGATGGGGGCTAAACTAATGCTCGGTCCTGTTCTGTCTCTTTCCGCTGTGCATGTTTGCTGTATGGCCAAACTATGTTTCCAATCCGAGTCCGGAGAACAGTCATGAATATTCGCACATCGTATGGACACTAACCTTGGGTACTATGCCACTTCCCACCGTACCTAAAGTGTCCTCCTTGATGTGGCTGGGATTTTTGTTGTCGCGGACGCTGTCAACATTCAGGCCTTTGACTTGTCTACACTTTGACAGAGTGCCAGTGTAACTGTCAAAATAATTGTGACCTGTTGTCTACACCTGGGTGGCTTTGTTGATGACAGCCGCAGTCGCATGTTGATGACAGCCGCAGTCCTAGTCATTGAATGCATTTCCAGAAGATTCTGCAGTGGCTGCTCAATTGCCGTCCCAGCTTTGGACAGAGCTTCTGGAAAGCCCTGGGATCAACTTGAAAATGGCTATTGAGTCATTCAACTTCCCGTGACCTTTCCACGTAGTACATGTGAGGTATTGAAGTCGGTTGATTCGTCGAAATTATCTCATACTTCCCCTCTGTAGACTACTATGTAGAGCTTCGTTCATTTTGAATAACGATCGTACTCATATGGGGCCTACAGTCCATTCAGAAAGAAAAGATGATCATCTGCCTCTTGGGTAGGGTGGTAACTCAGGCTGTATTGGTTGGTAAAAAAATAAAGAATATCGTGTCCGTTCCCAAAGGAAACTCACGACGTCCGCTAACACCCGGTAAACCCGGGGTGGTTGGTGGATGGGCCAAATTTTGAGTTACAAAAATATTTTTTCAAGCCCTATGGAATGCTGTTCATGCTACGTTATAACAAAGAACTCAGATGGTGAACCAAGGAAAAAAATTGTAACATGGAAATTGTGCCCTATGTTACAAATATTACGTTTTTGAAGTCTATTTCTCCTATAAAAAGCAAGCCATGCCAATAGAAGGATTTCGGCCAGATTTTTTGCCCCAAAAGCGCTGAGTTTGAAAAACGATGTAAATCCAGGCCCATTTTACTTCATGTACTGCAACAGTACATTATGTCCCCACAGGAAATCGCGATCTCACGGCCGCGACAAAATCCGCGAATTTCGGTGTCTCCCGCGAAATGTGACGGTTTTGCAGAATCGTCGCGAATTGTGAGGAAAGAATATCAGATTTCGAGAAACCATGGGGTTTTTCAGTGTACGTGAAAGCGCTGCTCGTACGATTGACTGACTCTGGCGCGTGCGGCATGCATGCACCAGTGTGAGTACTCTGCAAGTACCCCGGTTTTACCGGGAGTACTCTGCATGTCATGCTTGTAGTACCATTCCGGTATGGTGCATGTGATGGAGAGCGGGTACAAGAGCACTGCAACTGACACAGGACTGAAGATCTATAAACCCACACAGTTTACCACAAGTTCCGTCATATTCTACCGCAAATTCAGCTTTTTACTGCAAATTTGGCCACAAGATTTGCACAACTTTCGAAGACTTTTTCCGCAATTTTCCGTGGGGACAGTACATTGTGCGGTTCGAGCCCCAGTTGAGGTAGCTTTTGTGGATTTTCTTCATGATCCTAGCACTGAGTATGTTTCCTATTGGCTAATGGCGCCTTCATGCTTTGTGAAGCGATTGTGTATTGTATTTTAAAGTGCTATTGTAAGTTGGATGATGATCAGTGTAGAAGCACGATTGTGTATTGTATTTAAAAAAAGTCCTATTGTAAGTTGGATGGGTGATTTTAAATTTGGACTTCACGGAGAATTTCAAAGTATTAGGAAATTAGAGGCCACATGCCACGTACTGCTCTTTTCTCTCCGAAATTCAACACTTGCAAGCCAGATATGAAAGAAAGAAAAAAATCACCGGGACTCGAACCAGGGACCATGCTAGCATGGTCCCTGGTTCGAGTCCCGGTGGTGTGACTGATGATTTTTCTTTCTTTCATATCTGGCTTGCAAGTGTTGAATTTCAGAGAGAAAAGAGCAGTATGAGGCATGTGGGTGCGTGATGATTGTAGAAACACTACACAGGTGAAACCTTGTTTCGGCAACCACCCGCAAGATCGGCATGTCGCGGGGTATGAGTAGATGTGATCTCTGAAACCAGGGGCTCTTGTGCATTTTATGCCAACAAAAATGGGCTGTGCGGATCAGGTTCATTTGATCGTGTGTGTTTGTGCGTAAATGAAAACTCAACATGTATTAGCCAACCTTCTTAGGATTTTGTTGTGTAGTATCTATAATTCTATGTGCATGCAAGACATCGTACTGCGGGTATCATGCACATCCCTGTAATTGCTTGCTCATTCAATGGCCATGTATTTATTTGCACAGGACACAGCATCTATGGACCGAAGTTTGCTGATGAAAACTTCAAGCTGACGCACTACGGGCCTATGTGGCTTAGCATGGCCAATGCTGGAAAAGACACAAATGGAAGCCAGTTCTTCATTACCACGGTCAAGACACCCTGGTTGGATGGACGCCACGTAGTCTTCGGCAAGATTCTGGAGGGCGAGGTATGTGCTGTGGTGCTTTTGATCTCTTTGAGGCTGTTCGGTACTGCATATCTTCAATGATACATACTGGTTACCCCATCGTTAGGCGCTGCATCTGCCGCTAGGGTTTACCGGGTGTTGGCGGCCGTCGTGAGTTCCCTTCAGGAAAGGACACGATAATTTGCTTTTGCTTTCTGATAGGAGTACTGCTACCGGTGTATCTTTCGCTGGGTATGGGTTATCGGGTGCACGGTGTTGGTGGTGCTGGAATGCTGATTTCACACTTTCCTAGACTGTACACTACAGTACAGATGGTGCTATCATTCTATGATGATGTATGTTGACAATGTTTCCTTTTAGGGTCCTTGGCACGGAGATGTGTTGCCTCCACAGCGCTAGGACCATGCATTACTGCATTGCTGCACTAGCTCAGCCTGACCTTCTACATTTTGGTTCATTTTTTCATCAAACTCTCAAAAAGAGTCAAAATGAAGTTGAATGATCTAATAAGTTACACGTGTTTTGACTTTTTTCAAAGCGCGGTGAAAATCTTGGGTTTAATGCGTGTAAATTTTAGAGGTTTAGGCGACGTGACGTGAAATATTGCCATGGCAAGATTTGGGTTTAGTTTGAACAGCAGAACTTTCTCAACACACAGAAATCAAATCTTCCAACAAATTCGATAAAAGTCATAAAACTACGGATACTCACACAAATTCAATCGGGATGACTAAACGAAACTTCCAAAAACCCACGTAACGAAACTCCGTGCGAGACAGTCAACTCACATAAAACACGTCAAATTTTACGTGAAACTTTTAAACCTCTCTACTGCCATTAAAACTACCGGTAAGCCCTCAACTTACTTGATAAGAGTTTTGTGGCACCCATGTGAGCCACCCTTGCCCCTGTAATGCCTGCATCCGCAACTGCTGTCTTTCCCGGTAGCGGCTGAACTCACCAGGGGGAATAAGGCTGCTAAAGCACAATGCTGAGATCGGGTCTTCACAGTAAGGAGAAACCATTGGCCAGTCAACAGAACACAAACACGCTCAGGACCGCCGGAAGCAGTGTTTGATTGGTCTGGTAGTTTCATGGCCTTTTACACGTCGTTTGTGTATGGTATGTCAGGTACACATGCCCTCCACAGTAGGAAACACGTGTTGGTGGCCAAAAGGTCGGTCCGGTGATAACCAGACCAGCCGGACCGGATCCGACGGGGCTGACTCTACATTGGCTCTGCATGCATCTCCAACAATGCACCTAAATGTAATTGCGGTACAATTAGATCTACTACTCGGCCTGTAGGCTGCATCTGACCACACTGGGTATACACACTAGAGAGGTTCTGCAAAACGAAAATGCGTGCAAACTTTCACTCTAAGTCATGAAGTGCGAAACTTCGCACGAACTTTCGCAAAGTTGGACGCGGAACTTGCAGGGAACGCGAAATGAACTTTCGTAGGAAGTTTCATGAGATGGGGTCATGGCGTACGTGCACTTGACGCCTGCAAACTACGAAAATATGCAGAAGTTCGTTCGAAAATTCGTACACATTTTCGTAAGGACTGTGCGAAACTTCGTTTGAATTTTCGTTTTGCGGAACCTCTCTATTATGGTATCCGGCGGCCCAGTGGCAGCACCACACACACTCTGTACAGTTAGGCTGTGTTTACATGAGGCGTTTCAACCCGGGTTGAGTTCGACCCGGGTCAGATTTCAACCCGCCATGTACACAAAATGAATGGCGCGTTTACATGACGCATTGCGCTTGACCCGGGTTGAAATTTCGCCCCGGGTTGATTTCAACCCTCCCCCCAAGGGGAGGGTTGAAATCAACCCGGGTCAAGAAAATCGTACAAACGTACTTCTGTGCGTATCTCGCGCCAGGTTTGAACAGCACTGCAGATGCAAATTTCTCGCAAACGGATTCACGTGACCGTACAGGACTGTAGAAGTGGACTTTTGGCGGCATATCAGTATTTGACCCGGGTCAACTGTCTTCATGTAAACGCTCACCCCTTTTGTCTATCGTACAGACTTTCAACCCGGGCTGAACTCGACCCGGGTTGAAATTTCTCATGTAAACACAGCCTCAGGCTCAGATATAACGACAGAAAATGCTGCTGCCATACTTAGGCTGCGTTTACATGAGAACTCTCAACCCGGGTCGAGTTTAGCCCGGGTTGAAAGTCTGTGCGATAGACAAAATAGGTGAGCGTTTACATAAAGACAGTTGTCCCGGGTCAAATACTGATATGCCGCCAAGAGTCCACTTCTTCTCCCACTCTCACACACATATGCTCACAGTCAATTCTGCCGTCGTGAGTCCCATTCGGGACGGATGCGAGAATAATAATAAATAAAATGATAATAAGTCCACTTCTAGAGTCCTGTATGGTCACGTGAATACTTTCGTCCGAAATCTGCATGTGCAGTGCTATTCAAACCTGGCGCGAGGTACACACAGAAGTACATTAGTACAATTTCTCGCCCCGGGTTGATTTCAACCCTCCCCTTGGCAATTGGGAGGGTTGAAAAGTTGAAATCAACCCGGGTCAAGCGCAATGTGTCATGTAAACACGCCATTCATTTTGTGTACATGGCGGGTTGAAAACTCTCATGTAAACACAGCCTGACAGTGTGTGTCCAGACTGGCTACAGTGCACTAGTGGCATATCGGAAATAAGACATCTTGAAACTATGGGCATTTTGCTCACCTGCTGGCTTGAGTGTCCATGACAAAGTCACAATGCATTATGGACTTCGTATTGATCCCATGAACATCCTGTGCTTTCTTTCTGCATAGAATGTTGTCCGCAAGATCGAAAGCACCCCAACAGGTGCCAACGACCGACCCACGTCCGATGTGGTTATTGAGAATTGCGGCACTTTGGAAGTGACCGGCGAACCCATGGTTGTTGCGAAGAATTAAGCGCAGTCCAGCAGTCATGTAGCAGTGCATGGCCTTGTGCACTGCCCGTAGTCCTCTGCATTCTCTTCTGATTTCTCTTTCTTTCGCAACTTTTTCTTGCTGCTGTGTTCTCCTTGCTCCACTTTTGTGGTGTTCCTGGTGCAATCATCTGGTATCATGCCTATTCCGCTCTCTCATAATCATATTGCTGTTATTTTCTCGTTTTCTCCAAAAGAAAAAAGGAAACTTCTTTTTGCTTTCCCATGTTTTAGCCCCGTAGTTGTGGGATGCGTTACATGGCAGCTTACCGGTGTGTGTTATTACAATGTAGGTGTAAATCATGCCCAATCCAGACTTAATCGCACAAGCAAAAGCTGCCAGGGCAGCAGATGAATGGGCCATCGGAGTCCGGTGTCTGACTTTGAAGGGTTGATTCACTGGAAACGGCAGCGCACCTCCATGCACGAGCACTTGAACGTACAGTAAAACCTGTAATGGCGACCACTCGACCATGGCGACCACTTAAATCTTTTCCTTGTCACGGACCAGGGAGTCGTAAAATACCAGGTATTTACGACTCCCTGTCACGGACGCATTCACATTCAAAACACCTCGGGATAAGGCCACCACTCGCTCAACGCGACCGGCGACCACCCACCCGCGACCGCTTTGTACAGTGCTGGTCATGTAAATGTATGCATTGCATGGTGCACCAGGCATGGTAGATCTACACATCAGTGCAGGAAGTGTAGATGTACATGGTGCATGCACGACATTTGACAGGTCTGAGGACCCCAGGCACATGAGTCATGCTAGAGTAGCATAGGTGTGTGCACTGTGATGCACTGATCTGTCCCTTTGGAAAAACGCGGCCAAGAATTCAAAATTCCGCGGCAAATTCCGCGGGGGAAAAGGGGGGTTTCTGCGGTAAAATCAAAAATCTGCGACACTTTCTGGAAGGTTTTCACCCTCCTCGTAGAGGATATGACAACTAGTCGCATGAAGGAGCACTTTTCATGCTATCCTTTGCAGTCACAAACTGAATGAGAGTGAAGAATCTTGGAGAGACCTGCACTGGCAAGAGAAATGTGCTCAAACAGATCGCAAAGTAGTTTTTCTGCTGCTTTCTGAGTAGTAATTTTAGTAATTTACCCTAAAAAATTCAGATTCCGTGGGCAAAAGTGTGGATTCCGTGATTTCCGCGGATGATGGCAACTTCTGCGAAATTTGCCACGGCCGCGGAATCGCGTTTTTCCAAGGTGACAGACTGATCAAAATGATGTATCACATGTGGATATGGTCACGTGACCCACTGAACCTGGATAAGAAGACCACCTGGCCACGGCGACCACTTTTTCTCGCCCCTTGAGGGGTGGCCTTAGACAGGTTTCACTGTATGTTCCTGCGCCTTCCACCTGTGCTTCACGAAGGCTGACTGGCGGTCCAAACTTTGCATGAACTAACCTGCCCAAATGGCATCTGTAACTAAATTAGTCTAAACCGCACCAGAGCCCACGGTCATTTAGCCAAAGGCAGAAAATGCAGCTTTTTGAATCATGTAGTTTCCAAGTATGCCAGACAACACGATATTTCGCCATGACCTAAGGGGGGACAGCATAGCAGACAAGATAATAATAAATAGAGTTCTAAAGAACACACTTGCACACACCACGCACATACCTGTACAGAACAAGGGAAATCCTTGCCACGAATACAAATATAACAGAGCCTAAATGCCGGGCGGGTCTCCTACTAGCATAGCAGCAGTGTGCGCTACGAGACAAGATGTGATCGGACCAAATGTGGAACAAGGGGCGGTGCTCGGCGTATCATGTTATGATCAATGGTGGTGAAGAATGTGGGGATTTTGTTCAAGAGGAAACTTGATCGCCGTGACTGCTATACTGTGCTGGCATGCTAATAGGTCTCGTGTTTCGTTCTGCCCCACCTAATCAGCAGGAGCCATAACTAAGGTGGCTTTGTCAAGAGGCTAGAGGAGGTACGACAATGCGGTAAAGTCCAGTCCAATTGACAAGCAGCAGATTCCATAAAATATTGAGCTGCATTATTTCCACAGCTGCACATGATGGACAGGAGTATGCTGACATACTTATTCGGTGTTGAAGACGCACTGCAGGAAGGCCTTGTAATCAAGAGAACCTTCTGGTGCGCTGGCATCCTCGCTGGGACGCAGATTGCCAATGAGGTAATCAGCCGTAGCTTCCTTGAGCTCACTGCGGAGAGTGTCGGGATGAATGTAGTCCTGTGTGTGGCAGATAAAAGCATGTAGAAAATAACGTGGACGTCTTGTACCAGTCTTCAACCCGTTTTTTGCCTAAGCGGGATATGAAGGCCCTATGATTGATATCGGCAGGCTGATAAGGACACTACAATAATAATATACATCTTTATGACATACGCACAAGTAAAGCACTCACAGCGCATGTGGTACATGTACACTGTCAACCAGGAAATTTTAGTGACACATAAATGTAGTGATGCTAGTCTTCGTGTGTTTTAGCTGCGTTGTTTTTATTAGACGTTGAAGAATGCTGTCTGAACTTTTTTTTACATACATGACAAAGACCACCAGGACTTCATGATGGCAAACTTCAACTGTTACTTGAAATCGTGAAACTGCTAAAATGTAAGGGTGTACATTATTAAGACTTAAAGGGGGTGCGGCTTATACGCCGATGATAAAATAGGATAGATGTTTTTTTCATAGCAAAAAAATGGGGGGGGGGGGGGGGCGGGCGTGCGGCTTAGGCCGTGATCGTTTGGTCGGATCCAGATCCAGATCCGTTGGATCCACTGGATCTGCAATGATCGATTGGTCGAATCCGGATCCAGATCCTCCGGATTTGGATCCGAGCAACCCTGCCCCGGGAGCAGGGTTGACTGGATCCATCGGATCCAAATGTGACCTTTGTGCGTATATGGCAGGTAAAAATCATTTTTCTACTCATTGTCGTACGTCTAGTGGACTTTTGTTGACTTTTCGTACGACGCGCGCGATCAGTACGACTTTTGCCTTTTTTGAATGACCTGTCAGCGCCATTTTTTACTTCGTCAACATGGCAACAGCCAAGGTCCGCAAAAAAGTGTTCGGTTGATTCTGAAGGATCCGACGGATCTGAGATTTGGATCTGGATCTGGATCCGACCAAACGATCATAGCCTAATACTCCGGACAATACGGTAACTGGACACCCCTCACTAGCCGTGCCTTATGTTAACCCATGTACTTGCCCTTAGAGGTATGGAAACTAACCTTCTCGCGGGCCAGGATCTTGAAGTTGACCTCGAGGTTCTCAGCAGTGTCATCAGCAGTGGCTTGGGAAGTCATGAAGTGAATGAAGTCCTCCAAAGTCACACAGTTCTCCTCCTTCAATGTCTTGTTCAAGTTCTCCAGAATCTTGTCGACACCTTCCTCAGCATTCTGCAAAGACACAAACATGCATAGGAATGCACAGTAACATACATGAAAATCAAATGATTAGCTATCATCCTTTCTCTGTTATGTACATGTTTTGTTCCTCATGCTCCGGATCGTTCTTTCACTCGGATTATTCCTGTAGTTTCTTTTCGAATGAGTGTTCAGTAAACTACCGTACTCTTTGTCGCGAAGTTAGTTGGACGTGCGAGTGTGTGGCATTTGGGAACATGCTGCAGGTTGGAAAATCAGCAAAAAAATTCACGCTTGTCCCTTCAACTCAGTGCAAACAGGCATTTCGGATAGTTGATCGTTTGAATAATTGATATTTTACTGTGTATGGATTTCCATACTACACTCAACGCTGCAAACCCACTGAGGCCCTGGTGCAAATACGAGCTAAATAGACCCATTGAGGCCCTGGTGCATATGTACGAGCTAAATAGACCCACTGAGGCCGTGGTGCATATGTACAAGCCAAAGAGGACTAGACTACCAGCTACGACAACAAGTAATACACCAAATAGCTTCTCTGCACAACTTCACTGCACACTGGTATTTCCCCACCGGTTTGGCTGCTTTAAAACGTTAGGCAAGTAGGTAGCACCGAGGTATGTAGTGAGGAGTTATACCATGCCGTGGAACAGCCACGGGCAGTTAGGTGTACTGACCTCTCCCAGCTGATATCCGTTGGCGAGGAGACATGCCTTGAATTCGTTCCTGTCGAGCTCGCCGCTGCCGTCCTTGTCGAAGTGGCTGAAGGTCTGCTTGTACTCTTCCATCTGGTCGTCAGAGATACCCTTGGCATTACGTACCAGAATCTGGTTCTCAATGGCGTTAATGCTGTTGGAGATCAGGGTCTTCAGTTGTTGAGCATGGACACGCAAGATCTAGGTGCAACATGGAACAAGAAGCCAGCAGGTGCACAGAAGACTTGAAAAACAAGAGATGAGGAAGACAGCAAAATACAGCCATGCTATGGATTGCGCAGAGAACATGTTTCAACAGAACCAAAGGCAATGTATACCCTCTCACAGGATTCCACCTGTATTTTTGGGAAATCGACTCACCTGCATAGTCAACTTGGTGTGAGGGTTCTCAATGATGCGGGCCTCGACCACAGCGGCATGGGCTGCCTCAGCGCCGTCGAACAGCTCAGTGTTGTTGCTGCATTCGGCAAGGAGAGTGTTGAGGTGATGAATTTGCTCCTGTGCATCACAATCAAATAACCATTCGAAAAGTCAGCACATGATGCTCCCATGTAAGTAAAGAAACCTATTGATATCCCAGGGCAGTGAATTGCACGACACCATTACATTACAATATCAATGATCAATCATTCTATGATGCAATGTGCATCGTACACATATTACGAGATGTATTCTGGACCTGGGCACATGTGGTGGACACACCCCAGGACAAACGTCATAAAGTGAGGAGCATTGCATCATACTTCATAAACATGACGTCAACTTGAGATTCTGTCGGGACAGCACTTTTATGTGAGCGTTTCTTGCTCTTGGGTTTCTTTGGTCAGACTCAGGAAAAAAACTGCAGAGTGTTCAGTGGCTATTACAGGATAGATAGCGCACTTTCTGGAATTGGGGCCGGTGTTTTATTACCGCCAGTCTGAAATGAGCACCACCTCATTTCAGGGCCTCCTATTATGAGGATTTTTCAAATTTGGTGAAATTTCAGGGCTCAATCTATTTTGTCCACTCGAAGCGAAGAAATCAGCTAGAACTTTAAGCAGAGCATTGTGGACAGACTAAGCTTGAGAGTGTGGCCTCTTGATTCGCTGCACTTGCGGCTGGGGTCGACATCTCCATCAGAATTTGAGGCAGACCCTTCAGCACTCAACAAGACGCTGAACAAGAAGCGTGTTCAAATTCAGGTCATGAAACTTCGTTCTCAAGCGATCCATGCCTCCAGGTGGCAGGCGACGACGGCAAACTACTGTCGTGGACATGGAAATCCGGTCGCACGTCTAGCAGCCCCAAGGCGCTGGTCATGCAGCCGTAGGTAAGCAGTACACACATGCATGCAGCGCGCTGGTCGCGTCGGATCAACATTGCACTGCATGCATTGAGTTACATGTACGTAACGACTAACGTTCTGTAAGTGCTGAGGGCGCCGGCCCCGGTCAATCGACTGGATTTCCATGTCCACGACAGTAGTATTTTTTGAATGTACCGTAATGACCTTCCAGCGGGATAGGGTAAGCAGTTCCGCAACTTCTTTCCTTGACAAGCGCTTCGCTGATTTTGTTGGTGTTTTCAGACCTGCTACCTTCGCAGCAAAATGCGCCGCACGTAGTGTTTTTGGGGGAATTTGAGAACACGTTCTTGCCATTGTCAACTTCAGCATTTCAAAATTCAGAAGAAATACCAGGATTCTTATACCGGAGCTTGCAGTCTTGACAAAATGTCCACGCGGACGATGTGGGCCGGCGCGAACTACAGAAAAAGGACACGCGGTCTGGGGCGAAATAGTGCGGAACGCGATGAATTTGTTTGGTGCGGACGAGAGCTCTGAGACCACCACGGCTTCCGTAGCAAAAAGACATTGTGTAGGAAGGGTCGTAGCAATGTTCGAACACAGAAAACAGCGATCCCGACAGACCGACAAAGACAAGCAAGTCACAAACATTGCGATGTGCAAAGCGACAATTTTAAGGACGCGGAGGAAGTACTATAAAGCGGCTTGCCCAGTTTTGCAGAAATTACGGCACATACCTCAAGGGTGCTACCAGTGGAAGCCATCTGAGCGTTGAACTTCTCACGCTGGTCAACAATCCATTGTTCCACGGAACCAGCCTGGTTGGCGAAGGCGATGCGGATCTCGTCATTCCTCTGTTGGTTCTCCTTCTCAGCCTGAAGTTTACCCTCATGCTCAACAAACAATTGCTGGAGATCAGACCAGTCCTTGTTCAAGTCCTGTAGTCAGTAACACACACACACACACACACACACATACAAGTGATTGCGTTCATAACTTACAATAATAGAATTGGCAAATGCTGCAGCCTGCAGGCAAACTGCATTCACTATGGTATATACAGTTCTCTGCTGAGATAGGCATGCAATGCAATCAGATAATAGTGATGCTGGACTCTCCCTGTGAAGTCTCCAACTTGGCAAGCACACAATTCAGCTTTTGACACCTGAAAAATCGCCAGTTCACGACACATACTGCATGCTGCGGCAGTCCACAGCTTTTAAAAAGTGCAAAGGAATGTGCCTGTGAAGCAGCTCACCTCAACAGTGATGTTTGTGTAGGGGTTGGAGGTAGAGCCAGACAGCTCCTCCACCTGACCATTCAGCTGAGCGATGGACTGGAGTTCGGCTTCTTCACCAGACAGGTTCTGCTTTCGCACTCCAAGCTGCCCGATGAGCTCCTGAAAGAACAGGCAAGTTCAGTACGGTGTGTCAGGATATATGAAGGCAAATGTCAACTGAACACAGCTGAGACACGTGTTAGGGCTGTATTCGGCCATGCAGGTAGCAAGCGACCATGCATATTGCGTGCATGTACAATGTCATGTACATCAGGGGTGGTACAAGCCCAGGAGAGGCCATGATCAGGTGCAACTCAAGCCAATACCAGTACCCGTGAATAATTTCCAATACCACAAGAAACCCCATCCGAGAGCCGGCTGGCCACGACTATTTCAGAAAACTGATCCAGGGATAGCAGGGCTCTTTTGCAGCTCATTTTGGCTCTTTGCTTCTCTGGAGTCTTCTTTCTTTATCCTTCTTTATCGATTGTCGGGTATTCTTCGCTGTATACCGACTGTATACGAGAGCCATACCTTTCGTATTCTTGTTTATTTATGTGACAGCATCTCCGGAAACTTTAGATGTCATAGTATACATTCTGAGGTTCCCGCAAGTTTTACCCAGGGGCTTCAAAAATTGTGAGGCATCCAGCGTCCAAGCTTTTGCATGCCGTGTACTCTCCCGGGTTTATACAATTGAGGTACATGTATAACTTGATATCAGGTGCAAAAGCCTGAAAATACAAGAGTGAATGCTCACCTCAACACCAGCCACACTGTGGACATTGTATGGCTCAAGGAGATCTTCCTTGACGTTAGCGAGGCTGGTTCTGAAGGGCTGGCATGAAAAGGAGGAATAAAATGAACAAAAGGTGAGGAAAGCACAGATCAATTGTAAAGGTGTGTGCAGTAGGGAAAAATTGGAAACTATGATGAAGCGAAATAGGAGAAAGGCTGCATCTTTGTACGGAAGCTACTGGTACTAAGCCAACACACCAGGGAGGATGAACAGATGTTGTCTCGAAAGGCACCGCATACAGTGTGCACAGTATCCTCCTCCCTTTGCCCATTCCCAAACGAACAGTAAAGCATGTCCAGGACAACACATGCCTTCAACGAATGCTCACAATCACAGGAATTCTGAAGGATGTTCTCTTGTCCATGGTTTTACCACCCCTCGGCCTCCCAAACTAAATGTGTGCTTCAGAAACAATTATTGTATTTTGCTCAGATCCCTACACAACACTAGGTATCTTACACCGGCACGCTTCGCAAACTCCAAACGGATTTCATCAATGTGCTGCTGCTTCTTGAGCTCCTCCTGCAAATAAAGAAGGCAAAGGAAACCGTATTAGCACGATGCAACTTGCCTACTGCTTGCTCAATGCCAAGCAACGCACACGTATTGTATGTTACAGACGGTGAGCAATATGGCACAATGCACACAAGCACCATAGCAAGAACAGAACTAGTCTAAGAGTGGATGCCAAATACTCTGCTGCCTCACCTCGATGAGAACAAACCTCTCCTGGCACACGTTGTCAAGATTGTCGTATGCAGCCTTGACGCCGGCAACGACTTCGGATGCCTCGCCCTCCTTGGAGTACTGCAGAGTGCCAAGCTCTGAAACGATACCCTCCATAGCACTGACACGCTGCCTGTGGGCAGCCACCTCAGACACGAATGCCTCGTGCTTCTTCTTCATGGCAACAAGGTCGGCAAGGGACGATCCCTGAACGACAGAACTGGCCACAACCTGCGCATTGTCAGCCACACGGGCGGAATGAAGGTTGGCCTTCTCCGTCAGGGTACTGAACAGCTGCTCACAGCGCTCCAGCCTACGGATCTCAGAGAGCAGGAAGTCCTCGCGTCCACCTTCAGCAGTCTCCAAACCAGACCATGCCTCGTCAATTTCCTGGATGCCATGGGAAAACAAGATAATAGAAAATACTTATAAGAACAAGTGCATGGGCTACGAGGAAGTACATGCAGGGGTGTAGGAAATGTCATCCCAATGATAGGCCCATCATCCAACACCACATTGTTACTGGTGACCTGGAATGTATGGTGTACTACTAGTAGACCAGTAGTCAATCATACGTGTACTGTGTGATGGCTACCGAAGGTAACTTAAGAAGTATGTACTGCCGTAAATCAGAGGGAAAGATGCAGTAGAGAATTCAAATGGATGGAAGCTGGGGATATTAATGTAGCAGTTGAGTACTGAAAGGAACATGCAACTGACACTGACATACCTGAAGGCTCTGGCCCTTGGGTGGAACGTATGGTGGTCGGTTGTGGATACGGAGCTTGGTGATCAGAGTGGTGTGTCTAGCCTCAATGGTACCCTTCTCTTCGGCCTTCGGTGGCTTCTCCTTCTCCTGGTAGGAGCGGAACTCATTGAGATGTCCCTGTAGATGAAAGGAAACATTCTCCACAAGTCAAACAGGAACGGTGCAACACGCAATTTACAAACACCGTAACTTTTAAGCAACCATGAACAAAGGTATTCAATTATTCCTTTCATGCTGAGATATGGCACCATATCTACACTTACGTGGCTGTCACTCGATGTCGCTACCGGGTCACGGTTGTTCATCCTCTCAATGGTCTGCCTGATCCATTCCAGCAACTGTCCAACATCAACAACAACAGAAGGCAGTGATCATGTGCCATGACAATTCTCAATACTAGTCGCTGAACATAAGGGGCAACATAGCCCAGAGACACACACAGCCAGACATACCAGATAAAGCTATAAGATTGGGTGTTAGTACCCTGATAATTTCTAAAAGACTCACGTTGTTGGTGAGGGCCTGGATCTCCTCCTCAGCCTCCTTGATTTGGCGGGAGATCTCGAAGACGTCAGCAATACGCTTGGCGGCCAGCTCAACCTGAACAAAAGTAGATAAGACAACTCGAAACTCAGTCGGTCGCCAAATACAGGATGTTGCATCACAGAGAGATTGAAGAATTGTGGCAACATGATACCAACAGGGATGGAGAGTGTGAAGCACATAGCATTGGAAGTACCGGGAGAGCTTCAACATGGTGCAAAGTACTGTAAGACATGAAATAGAACGCGAGGAAGTTCTAACGTTTCAACTACAAGGACATTTCTTTTTAACCGGGAAAGAGGATGTCTGCTCGGGACAAATTGACTTGTATGAAGCTGCAAAAGTCCTCACCGCCTTTACATTGTTTATGCCCTAACGAGTCATCTGAGATCAGGTATCCAGACACATTAATTTCACAATGGTACTACAAGCGTTTGAATTGAGATTACCTGCTGGAAGCTGGAGAAAGCGTGGTAGTAAGCCGAAACGTATGTCATGACAGCACGCTCATCAGGCTTGATGCAGGACGAGATGTCTGGCAACATGTGGACATAAATATTACAATGGCACCAGTGAGTCACCGCCAGTACACGAGATACCATTACGATTATTACAGCCTAACCAAATATTTGACCAAAGAGGTCATACTGAGGTCAGTGTGATGAGCAGCAATGCACAGAGTGCACTGAGTACGTTCAACAAAAAAAGACATCCACAAATACCAGGTGTAGGTAAAACCGTTTCACCAGCAAAAGAAAGAGGGCTAGACGATACATGGGCAGTTTTGCGCCGGGCATTATCTGGCATGCGGATCAAAAGCTTAGACGGAAGTTCAGCAAGCCCTTTCTAAAGTCATGCACAGGGAAGTGACTTTCTCCTTAGTCCTTACCCTCAGCATCCAACATCTGTGGGATATCCAAGTGCTGCTCAGCAACATCGAAAGCGAGCTGAAGATTCTCGCGGGCATTGTCCTACACAGACAAAACAAAGTGGGCAACAGAAACAGGCTTTGTGAAATCAATCACAACATAGAAAACAAATCCATGGTTGCAGATCTACTTCGAAAAGTGGAACAAAAAAAGAAGTAGAAATTTGTCCGTATACTAGTAGTACTAATAGTCTAGTAGTATTCTGTATATGGACGAAATGTGCAAGATATGCATCAAAAGTTCATGCTTCCAGAAAGTACACGAAAGTCGGCACTTAGTTTCGTTTTGCAGCAACCCCTACCTTCTTCAGGCTGGAGTAGTTAGGGATTAGGTCAGGGCGATGACGGTGGATCAGAGCGCAGAATGCCAAACCATCCTTGAAGCTGAGATTCAGGAGAGAAAAAAGACAGAGAGTGCACTTAGTAAGTTATAGTAACTAAAGAACCATATCCAGGCAATTCTATTATTGACAAGGAAAATGAACAACTACATGAAGGTCTGGAGGCATTCGATCCACAGGGATAAATAGCTGCACCGCTCTCAGCTGAAACTTCATAGCAGCCGTAAGTGTAAGATCGCACTTCTTGTTGCAGTGCCTAAATCAACCTAGGTTACTGCTCCACATCATTATATGCATGAACATTGCTATCTCACCAAAGATCAAGGATTGCCGATTTCATGCAATAATGTTTCACTTCAGCCCCCCCCCCCCTCCCCTCCCTGTCCTTGAATAGTTTACAATAGCACTCTGCACACAAGGTCTAGTGGAAAATCGGTGCCTCTCTACTTGAGATTTTCATGCTGCTACCCAATCATAGGAAGACTATGCACAAGGAGACTATGCTGAACAGTGGAACACGTCCTACAAAGCAATACCCCTTGGCACTTTGGTGGGAAATTAGGGCACAACTGGCCAGCGCAATAATGTAGTGGAAGGCACGAATGCTACAGAGATTGGCGTAATGGGTAGTGTTGCAACACGTTCCACAGGGCTGGGAGGTAAGGTGTAGTGTTGTAACACGTTCCACAGGGCTGGGAGGTAAGGTGTGGTGTTGAACCCATGGATATGTATGTACATGGGTGTGATAATTTGCTTGTGCTAAATGCACCTCAAGAATTCTTTATTCATCTGCTATGTTTTGCATGTTGACGTTGATACACCAGCATGGAATCTAGGCTCTACAGTTTGACAGGTAGTGCATTTTGACTCATGACGAGACTTGGAAAACAGCTCGGAATGATCCCTATAAAGCTCCCACATCTCTCCTACCCACACACCTCATGTGGAAGTTCTGGACATTGACATTGTTGTATGGCTGCGTCTTCTTCTGGCACCAGAGAAGCAGACCCTCCTTGGCAGTGAGTTCTGCCAAACACAGGACGGAGTAAACATGGAGCGCAAGGTTAGTTATGATATGGTCATGGCTGCGTATCATCCACAATGATTAATGTCCCCATGCCACACTGAATGCAGATATGCCGACAGACGCAACACGTACCTTCCACAGAGATGTCCTGGATAGCAAAGCGCAGAATGATGGTCCAGATCATACCGAGGATCATCTTCAAGTTGCCATCCACAATTTCTGGATTAGCAACAGTGTCATGAAGGCACATACACGCAAGGCACAGCATATACACGCACACACATCCACATCCACACACATCCAGTATTAGTATAATCGCATTCGTGTGAAGAAAACACCGATGTTGGTTTACAGACGATTCACACAACAGGCAAACATGCGTGCAACGGATCGAATCTATGGTAATTGTGAATGTGAAATGTGAACAACCGTGGCCGAAAAGTACAAGCAAGCTAACCCCTCCCCCGGCTCGATAATTGTGGAGTGCCCGAGACAACAAAAAAGTGGGGAAATTGAAGCGGAACAGAGAGATCTCTTTTTGAATGGACCATGTGAATTTTCTTGTTTCTTTGTGCCAAATTTTTTGAAATACCCATGTCAACTGGAGGGGGGATCATCCGAAATGCAAACGTGGAAGTCGTCGAGTGCAGCAGTGCGAATTCACACTGTCACGTTTCCTGTCAACAGAGGGGGTGCCTGTCGTGTGAATTGCCTATATTATAAAGTAGAGCAGATGCAGGTCGGTTACCTGAATGCCCAGCTTAGGATAAGCCCCTGTTTATAGAAGGGATCAATGTGTATTGTGATAGCCCTGCTCTGGGTGTGTGCTTCCACTGACAGGTATATGCAGTCAAGAATTGTGTCAGCTAACACAGCAGTCAGGTTTTCCTGTGTAAGATGGGCCCTGTCCATATGGTCGACGAGAAATCGATAAGCCAGATGAATTCTGTCGTATTGCATTGCCATCCAGGGCCGACGTTACCGTTGTACACTGTACATTGTACTGGGAACATCTGGTTCAACTCTAAACGTACAAGTCCAAGTCCAAACTTGAAAGCACAGTACTCGAGAATCGAGGTCTTACCTTCGGCACCGATTCCGTGCAGTTTGACACCAACTGTCTTGACAAAGTCTAGGCACTTCTGGACATTGTTGACCATGTGCACTCTCATCTTTCCCTTCTCCATCTTTGGGAGTTTTTCTCCTGCGATGACCTCCAACAGCGCCTGAAGAGCCTTGCCATCGTGGAAGTCGGTGGCAATGTCCTCGATCTTCATGCCCGCCTTCTTCAGGTGGCCATTAACCCACAGGGTAAAGGACTACGAACACAAAAAAACACAATGGAAACGTAAATGCTGTAAATAACCCATTCCGTGAGCTGCTCCCCCTTTCTCCGGGAGGCGAATTCGCCGCAAAGCTATCCTCACCTTCTTCTGTTGGTTCGTCCATGCCCTTTGAAGCTCATCGCGAGCTGCCTGGCTGGCCATGGCAGCCTCATCGGTCTGACTGGCTCGTCGGTCTCCCATGATGAGAATGATCTCACTGAACAGCCAACTTCAGCTGGAAAACTGACAAGATGTTTGTGTCTCCAAAATGTGAGTTGGACAACGAAGGCACAAAAAACCTTGATGGAACAACCCAGATCTAGATCTGAGCATGCAACTGTTTCCCAGTTCCCACACCAACTCCCTGGGTGCCGCTTTTGGGCCAGCGTTCGATTGACCTCCAATTGATGGCAATTCAGCGCTGTAGCGTACACATCGGGTCAGTGTTTCAGCGCTATCGCAATCCCAACTGACGCCTTTCCTGCCCGTACCGTATGTACGCGGTACGGTACGAGAATAGGTGGCAGTGCAACCATTAACCACCAGGTGACCGCAATCCATGCGATTTCCACCATCTCGTACGATCGTGTTGTTGTTGATGACATAATAGACACCCTTAGCAAAAAACGTTATGTAACTGTTGTAACGGTATCAAGAGTCCATAAGTAGGCATAACCGGGTTATATATTATCGTAAGGGGGGAAATACCGTTCGACCATTTATAATACTAAGAAAAGAATCCTGTTCACTGCGCCAATGTTTCAGTCAACTCGTCACTCAGTTCACACCAGCCAACACGGTTCAATCCAACAATGGGATTAATCAATACATGCAATAAGAATAAATGCAAGGAAAACGGTTCGGGATAATAAATTAGGACACTCAGGATCTGGCCGCCATTCTCGGGCTCTCTCTCTCTTGATCTCCTCGACCTTGCGCCAGGATCCGTCAATAATTATATGTACAAGCACTACAACAAGTATCACGTGCGACCTACATGTACGTCGCTGGTAGACTGCATGCATGGTAGGTCTACTACCAAGACTCAAGAGTACATAACCCGGTTAAAGGGGAAGTATACCCTAAAATCAAAATTTCACCAGTTGTAGTCTTCGGGGTGCTGAGTCGAATGGTCTTGGTCCGAGGAAGCTGAGACGCTCCCTTCCTACTTGAATCCCAATCGAACTCGCGCACTTCCACCGAAACTGGGTGACTGCGCCCTACTAGATGGGGATTTGTATGCAAAATGTCACTAAAAGCGTCATTTCGTTCTTATAAAAGCACGGATGACCGCGGTTGGCCCATATGTTGTAGTCTTTTAGACGCTGAGTCGACTGGTTTTGGTCCGAAAAAGCTGCGATGCAGCGTTCCTCCTTTATTCCCAATCGAACATGGTTGAACAAGCGGTCACGTGCTCCTGCGTACACCAGTCACCTGGTCACCGTGCCTGCAGGGTAGAGGAGACGGCTCGATACCGGGACGTTTTGACAGCCAAATTTGTATAGACCCAAACCGATCATCAGCGTTGATTTTTCACTCGAAATATGTTTGTGGAAGGAAACTGGCATGTTGAAGTTTGCTCTGGGGCCAGAGTCAATCGAACTGAGCCACTCCTTTGTGTTGACCCATTGCCTTCAAGTTGCCCAATTTTTCGCTTCAAAAAAGTTCAAATCAGAGGTGGCTCCAAACCGGACACGTTTTAGAGTGCCTGTCAAATTCACTCTGGGTCTGAAATTAGGTAATTGCTATCGCTCCACGACGGCCAGTATAGAGTAACAATAAGCCTTGTGTGTGCTTCCATTAGTTTTGATTGGTATGCGGTGCTATATTGGCGAGAGGCGAGCCGCTGTTTACCTGCGACAAGAAGTTGATTTTTCGAAAGTCGTAAAACTCAAGTCGCAGTGCGAAGCAACACGTCAAAAACTCACCTGCTTGATATGGCGCTTCTGGTCATCGCAGAGCCATGAAATTTTGGCTCGGAGTATAACACATAGTAGTTTCACTGTGACATATGTTTTCTAATCAAAATACCAAGAGAGAAAGTGAATATTGAGTCCGTTCCGGTTTGCAACCGGTGTCCTATTTGAAACCGTCCCCTCTACAACTTACTAGCCTGTTTGACCTTTTTTGGGTGCAGTCCTGTCACTCGAGTTGAACTCGAGTTGAACCTTGGTGTGAAAGTTGTCGCCTGCTGGCGCGGTGACCAGGTGATTTGGGCACCCAGGAGCACGTGACCGCTTGTTCAACCATGTTCGATTGGGAATAAAGGAGGAACGCTGCATCGCAGCCTTTTCGGACCAAAACCAGTCGACTCAGCGTCCAAACGACTACAACATATGGGCCAATCGCGGTCATCCGTGCTTTTATAAGAACGAAATGGCGCTTTTAGTGACATTTTGCATACAAATCCCCATCTAGTAGGGCGCAGTCACCCAGTTTCGGTGGAAGTGCGCGAGTTCGATTGGGATTCAAGTAGGAAGGGAGCGTCGCAGCTTCCTCGGACCAAGACCATTCGACTCAGCACCCAGAAGACTACAACTGGTGAAAATTTGATTTTTATTTAGGGTATACTTCCCCTTTAACCCCCCGTAGATCTACTCTTGGTACTACCCAGCGCTAGGGATAGGGCATGCCAAGTATGTGGCGAATGCGTACAGAAGGAACACAGTGCAGGTAGGTCTAGGATGCTTCTACAGTCCATTCAGAAAAAAATGAACTTCTAGCTTTTGGCCATAAATGGGTCAAACGTTGAGTTTTTTTAGAATTTTTTTCTGCAATCCCATATGGAATCCTCTTCCAATTATGTTTCTGAAGTTTTTTTGTCCAAAAAGCAAGCCATAGCAAGAATAGGATTTCGGCCAGGTTTTGCTCCAAAAGCACTGAATTGGGAAAAACCATCAAAATCCAGGCCGTTTGACCCCGCCTGCAACAGTGCATTCTGCGGTTCGAACCCCAGTTCAGGCACCCTTTTTGGACCCTTTTTCAAATTTCAAAGTTCGCAGCACTGCACTGTGTACGATGAAATCACGAAAAATCGCCAAATACGGGAGCTCGCCAGAGCCAGGACCCATCTTTTTATGAATGGACTGTAGCATACTAGTATCAGCAGATTACTGAAAGCGCATCAATGACAGAGACAAAACATACATTACAACCAGAGTCATGCAACTATCAGCCATAGTTCAGTGGGACTACCACATCTTCATCCATCGATTGCCGCTATGCATTGCATTTTGTCTTCACAGATAATCTGGACAAATAAATTATATTGTAACTGGAGAGTGCAATCGTGCTTGGGACCCATCCCAATGGCAATGCCATCACATGGCTGTGATGACTAGTGTATACCTGGGAGAGTTTTCCTCAACTGAGACGGAGTGTAGGTGGATGGATTATGAGAAATGCGAAGATGTGGAGTAAGTTGTGTCGAAGAAATGTGTAATAAAATAAAATTTATTTTACACTCAAACATACACTGTACATGTACATGTAACATCATGATAATGATTCCATCTTCATATTTCCGCAACAGGTACGCCATACGCACCGAATACATGGTGTGTGTGCACGTGCGCGCGTACATGCACACACTCTCATGCGTGGCCGAGTTGGCCGGATGAACAGACCACGCATTTGCACGAGGTGTCCGTCATGTCATTGGAATGCTGTACTTTCTGACTTTATTCCAAAATAGTATGTCTTGCCCCTGTCAAATGGAGTTTGTGTCTATGCTCAGCGGGTATCGGGCCATGACGCCAAACTGCAGTCAGCGCTGGAATTAAAATAGCACTTCATGGATTATTTTTAGGGCTGAGTCGGGTAGCACGGGTACCCGATCGGGTAATGTTTCCATGGTAAGACCACAATGCACACCGGCCCCTCCCCTTACACACTGGGTAGACATGCGTGAATTATTTGTACACGTGCACTGTAGACCTCTCTCTACTCTTTCTACATGATGTCATCTGCGACTTCGGGTTTTCGGGTACGATTCGGTACCCGTCTACCCGAGGTCCTCACGGGTAGCACGGGTACCCGACTACCCGTGCACACCACTAATTATTTTAACTAATTTCCTTTGCGTTTACTTTGTTGAGCCCGTGGTTTCATTTCTGTGTTCTGTTATGATTGGCTTCTGGAAATAATCGGTGTGGATGTCATTTTTATGTGTGTGCCTTGTGCAACAGGTTCAAGGCTAGATGCACTTCACATTCGGCATGCGATCTCGGCGTCTGGGACCTGATAACGTCTTGGTTGGATGGGTAATCAAGGATGATACTACTCGGCACATCAATGTACATGTCAATGTAATTTTTAATTTTTCAGAGCTGCACTATTTACGTCTTGATGCTTACTTCGGTACTAGCGTGTTTCCCCCGGATTATTTCTATCATCATGCGTGTTCTTGGGCTGAGCGAGCACATGCACGAGTGTGCAGCTATAACCCTGTGTATCTTTGGTTACACTTTGTTCTGCAATACATGTACCTTGTAACAGTATGTGCTTGCACTGCTTTGTGTGGCCTGCGTATTTCAGGACTATTCAGTGCATTAGACCCAGGTTGGTTTGGTTGCCGGATGATCTCTTGTTGCGTCGCTCTGTGTTTTGTATTCATCAATTTTTGGGCTTGAGAATTGAGCTGGCGTGTGGTTCCCAATATGAAAACATAATGCTGGTGCTCTGTGTTTCGATTATCGACTGTCCGAGCAGTCACGATTCATTACCAGAACGGTCAATACTGTAGTCTCTTCACGTGTTTGTCTTTTTGTGTTTTCGCCGGGGGAATTAGCGGTGACGTTGCACATAGAACGGCAGTGTTGCATCACTGGACGACCCTGCCTCTGCATCTGACTTCATTTCCCCAGGATCTGGTGCGGATACACCAGACAGTCACTTCCTGTAAACACGCAAACAGCAAAAGAAGAGATCCCGCAAATCAGGAAAACCCATTGTGGAAAATATCGAGTAGATCATACACCATTCAATAATCTGGAGTAATTACAGTGAGACAAACACTTCAAACAGTGCTCTCTCTCTATCTCTCTCTCTCTCTCTCTCTCTCTCTCTCTCTCTCTCTCCATCCTTCCAAAATACTAGTACAGTCAGATCTCGCTTATCCGGTCCTCATTTATCCGGATCCCTCGCCATCCGGAAGAAAATCGTTGGTCACCGATTTACAGCATATGCCATGCATACATACAGTATGTGTGTTCGATTATCCGGTTCCCTCGCCTGACCGGATATTTTTGTCGAAAACGGATGTGTACGGTTATGCGAGGTCTGACTGTACCCAGTAACAATTCCCTAGAATTATTTTATTTTATATTCTCAGGACATCATTCTGAACATAATAACTTCTTCCATGGGTCTTCAATCACCACGGAGGGCGAGAATATATCTAAGCCATGCAGTTTACGGGAGGTGTGAGCTGTCATGGATATAGAGGCTGATATTGTGCCAGCGTGAGGGCAGAGACAGAAAGAAGACACCTACATATAATCGAATCCACAGGGAGCGCTCGTACTTTGATCCATCAGGACGCGAAGAATCTTCAAAGCACTCTCAAACACGGAGTTTTACAGTGGGCAGCCAATTACACAGCCATTATGAAGGCCCTCGACGACTACAGGAGATTTGTAGAGGAAATAACAAGGAGTAAAGAGCGACAACAATCGCTTGAAGAAAAAGCAAAGAAAAACAGCTTTCTCTCCAGTCATTTAGATGCTGTTGCCCTTGACATCTGGTTCCATCCAGAGGACGCGACTTTTGTTTGTCCCCAGTGCTCTGCTCTTCGTTGCTATGCGTATCGAAGGGGCCGTGACGTCACACTTAACAGCCCCATTCTTCGATATTTTGCCGAAAGCCCGCATGATCTGTCTACTGTCTGGACAAATGTAGGCGCCTAGCATGTGGGGTTATGTACTCTTGATAGCATGTAATGTGCCCTATAGGCCCTGTGGACTGTGCACGTGGTCTGTGCAGCTGTGGTGGTCTGCGGGTCCGGGAGTATGTGGAGCACTGATCTGACAAGGAGTAGTAAAAATTTTACTACTCCCTGCTACACTGACGTCACATGACAGTCTGATAGCAGTCATAGCACCTACTCAAACAATCCTGTTTGCGAATGGGGAAGGAAGTAATGAAGGAGGTGATGGTCTGAGCTGAGCTTCTCCAACCCTCCATGGCATGTGGTCTCTGTAGGATTTTTTTGAAGTTTTGAGCTTGCGTACATCCTCTTGTCGCGAGCCCAGCTTGTTAGAAATTAGTTTACAATCATAATAATCATTGGCTGAAGTCGCAAACTTCTCATTTTCATTTGAAAAGTGAATAGAAGTTTATTCTGCGTCATTTCGTCAATAATTTTAAATTTGTCGCTGAGCGTTTCAGGAAATCTAGGTCGTATTGCATTCAGCACTTGCTTGTCGTCACTGCGCCAGCTAGGCGTAGATCTGGCTCTGCCCTGGAGCCACCATCCATGAGGACTTCTCGAACAGTGCGCTGACATGCTCAGTCTTCTGCAGTAACTGAGTCGGACTCATCCCTCATCAACGATGCACGACGCATTTGAAGCTGTCGTAGCCATTGAAAAGCTGCCTCTGCACATTGAGTGCATAGCAACATGGGGTATGTGATTGAAATTGTCATCAAGATTTTCATTATTTCGGTATTCATTTTAGCATTTCTTCTGAGTACATGGCTGTACACTGTACATGTAATTTTAAATATTGATGGTAATTGCTGTAACTGTCGTGACCGTATCTTCTTGGGTGTATACTATAATAGGCTACAAACCCACACACTTTATTACAGTGGTTAGTTGAGCTTCATTCATGGTGATCTCGGTCTGGACAGGGGTCATCCTTAGATCAACGGAAAGATACAATGGGTTGTGATGTCAAATTGAAATTTATTTTAGAACACATGTCAAATTGTGTAATTGATTTCAGCACAAGTCAAAAGCGATGTGTTTGCGACTGCAGCACCTTCTCTGTGGTCCATTGTGTTGGAACTGCTACAACTGGTGTAGTCATGACATGCCACATTTCAAGTTTTTCACACCAGGCGGTGCATAAGTTTAGGACAACCCATGCGTTTGCAAATTACCATTCCATATTCTGGCATGTTTCGGGTAGGCTGGCGGAACCCCGTCATAACTCTAGTGTATGACTGTTCTCCTCCTTGTTCCCGTCTGACGTCCTAGTTCCATACCCCTTACTGTGAACCGTTATTTCTAGATTGAGGTACCCCGAACAATTAGGCAGTCTCACCATCTTTATTCCGTATCTTCCGGAGTATAAGCCACACGTACACTATAGTATAAGCCGCACCCAGGTTTTTGCCACGATATACAGACATCTACATTGTATTTTATGGTTCGTTTGACCATCATAGTATAAGCCGCATTGTTTTTTTTTTTAGGTGAATTACCAGTGTTTATCTTATACTCCGGAAAATACGGTAAGCAGGGTGTCGTATTTTCATTTGGTTCGCCCCAGCTAATGGCACCCTGTGTATCTTTTTTATTTCTTCCCATCTACCAGGTTGTAAAGTGCGCAATGGATGTGTGTGTGTGTGTGCGTGTGTGTGTGTGTGTGTGTGTGTGTGTGTGTGTGTGTGTGTGTGCTGCATCTACCTGTCCTATGCTGGGACACTCAAACCAATGAATAATCGGATAAGAGATTCTTATAGTAGCGGTACTGTTGCTGGTGGTGTGTGGTGGGTAATGTGCGCGTGCGGTGTATGGCTGCACTGTGTGGTGTGTGTGCAGAGTCGTCTCTGTTTGTGGGAACCCGGACAGGCGTGTTGCTTGTTTACAGCATCAAGGAAGGCGGCGGCGGCAGCGGTGAGTACTCTCCACTGGTACTGTGCCCGATACTGTACCAGCTTTAGGGCTGGGCATGGTCTTGCTGTTTCCTAGGTATGTCATTCACAAAGGTTGGGGCCGCTCTGCACTGCCTATTGTACCAGCTTTAGGGCTGGGCATGGTCTTGCTGTTTCCTAGGCATGTCATTCAAAGGTTGGGGCCACTCTGTAGTGGCTATTGTACCAGCTTTAACCCTTTATTGGCCGATTAAAATATAAACAAGCCCACGCAATCGCCAAACCTGTAACTAAATTGGACGTAACTTTAGTTTGCACTGGACAAATTCCACGATCTTGGGCATCCTGGAAAGGCCTTGACGAGAGGAGCGCAATGAGCCTACACTCGACTCCACGGGATGCACTGTCCCAGCGCTGCAAGCCAGGGAAGGCCCACCAGCGCTGGGCTCACGCTCGAGATCTATCTCTATCCACCATTTCACTCCTGTTGCTCGTATCAAACTCAAAATTTTCGTAGACACTCCCGGGAACCTGCTTTTGAAGTTGAATCGGTGTAGCCTTGTCAACAGGTGACGCAAGCAGGGAAAATCCCGGCTGTTGACCCACGCACTCACACTCTGAGCACAAATTTCCCGGGACCAATATTACGAGTGCTATAACTTACGAACCGCTCTTTGTATCGCTTTGAAAATTGTTTGAGGCGACAGCTGAGAGTTTTCTCTTCGACCTACATATTTCGATCTCTCCGAAAGACCGAGATTTGACCAAGTTACGATAATTTCAAAATGCCTACCCCATCGAACATCGGTGTTCGATCAATGTATGGGCCAGCCAATAAAGGGTTAAGACTGGAAGTGTTTTTGCTTTTTTCTATTCATGTCATTCAAGTTTGGTGCAACTCTTTGTAGTGTCTATTGTCATGTTTCAGTGGTACCTCATCATACTCGTTGGCCTCTAACAGCAAGGCCTATAGACTCTATCGTTTCTACGTGTTGACTCAGTTGCAGCCACTATTCTTCGCTTGCTGTGGCTGCTGCTGCTATCATCGTCGTCGTCTTTGCCGTCTGTGTATGCTCTTACATGCACCGCAAAAAGTGACTGTGTGGATTCACACGGCTGCACTCAACAACAGGCACGTTTGCATTTTTGAATGATTCACCTACCGGTTGCCATGAGTATTTCAAATTTTCAAAACATGCATACAATAAATATCGTGAAAAGAGCCGCGTAAAAAATCAAGTCTTGTTTCGCGCTTTTTGGTGTAAATGTACTCGTGGACGCCACAATTATCGCGAAAGTGGGCCCCCAGCTCGCTTGCACTTTTCAGCCACTTTCAGCCACTTTTCTCGTTCACAGGTGAAATACCATAGCAACGTTCCTGTGCACGTGGATTTGCCTGTCGTGTGAATCGTCTATAAGTCAAGGTGGCAGACTACCAGTACGTGTAAATGACCATTTGTCCTAAATTTGGGTGCCCGACAGCCAAACAGCACAGCTCAGAAATGGAGATTGGCACACAGACTCCATGTGAATTATGGGTGTCCGCAGTTATCCGCAGTCACCATGGTTGCCAAGGGACAATTCCAGCTCTGGAACATTTCTCTGGTGATGACTTCTCCTTCTTTACACTGCTTGCAAACAGTGTCAGTAGCGTTGAGGTCAGCAAGCGCAAGAGCAGGAACAGGGACAATCCTGCTACCTGATACATCATTGTGTTCGTCGTCATCATCGCTACCAACACCACAGTCGATTTCAGAACCACCATGCACCACCACATCATCGTCCAAGAATGGGAGTCCAGTCAACTTGGCTGATGATGGACTTGTCAGCATGTTTTGAAAATTTCGAATTCATCTCATGGTCATCTTCATTTTGGATCACACTGTCGTGCCCAGGAGCGGCAGCTACTTGTTTTTTTTCCAGTCGCGTGACAAGCTGATTTCCAGAGAAGAGTCTGTTCCCGGCCGGGCCTTGCCAGTGGCCACTTTGCTTTCCTCTTCCCCGTGCACCTCACGTAGACAGCTATATGACAAGCTGCTTGCTGAGAATGTCATGCACAGATACTCAGTATTTGTAGAAAAAATCTTCTCAGAACAGAGAGTTGTTGGATGAGCCATCTGCACGTGTAGATGTCTACGTAGCTCTACCTACACCTGGTGCCTGTACGTGGCGTCCAGTTGCCATAGCATCGAGGTACCCCATGGCCAGCGTATGGAGGTACAGTCGAATGTCACTTATCCGGTCGCCAGTTATCCGAGCACGTCGGTTATCCGACAAGCCTGGGAGTGGTAATTTTATGACTCACAACAGTAAAATTCTAAAAGATAAATAAAAGGCTTTTATTGTCACAATAAAAGCCTTTGTGAAATGTCGGTTCAGCTCGTTCTGTTGATCGCAATTCTAAAACTATTGTCGCCTCGACGCCTATTTAGATAAATAAAAAGAAACTTTTTTTTTGGTTGTATTATTATACGGTGTAATATGCATTTACTTGAAGTAGATGTGGTCAAATATGCTAACATGTACATGTATATGTACATGGAATATGCATGAATATATTTGGGTACTGTGTACATAAATCAGTGAAATCCAGCCATATCTGCACATAAAAAATGATATCAGTTATCCAACATATTCAGTTATCCAACATGCCTGATTCCCGAAGTGGTCGGATAAGTGACATTCGACTGTATTTAGAGAGGTTCCGCATAAAGTAATTACGTTAGTAAAAAACGTAGTCGATCTACGGAAAGTCTTACGTAAACTGCATGCGCATCTGTGTTCCGCCATACGGAGTTTTCAAATCACGTAGCTGCCCTTGGCAACTCCAAACGCAGCAGCGTACGACCAGATCGACCTGGGAAGAGAGTCATAAATTTGTACCCCAATCCACTTACGGACCAGCTACGTTATCAGAGCCCTATTAGTAGACAACTTTCCGTAAGTGGAGTGCAAACTCGCGAATTCACGGGTTTTCCCCGCCCACTAACGTAAAGTTGCTCAACTTTACGTAGTGCGGAACCTCTCTATTGCCTAAACTGGCCGGCCTTGTAGGACATGATGACTGAATGACAGTGTAAAAATCTACTCACAATTAAAAGAATTGCTGCAATTATCAACACGCAAACTGCTAAGACTCAACATTGGTTCATTTGATTTGGTTCATACTTCATACTTCATACTTTGGAGAAAGAAACTCCAGTTCCCATGCTTTCGGGTGATACTGCGCATGCCCGTGATATCCTAACTTCGTAATTTTCGGGGAAGTTGTGTGTGTGTGTGTGTGTGTTTCTTCACACTTCAACAATCTGACAATTTGCCATGTCTGACAGGGATTTATAACATGCATGATGATTGCGTGAGCATGATGCTTGAAGTAGCAGCAAACAAGCCTTGACTGTCCTTGTTGTTCTGTTGTGTAATATGCATGTATGTATCTGCTTTTCATTCTCTGGTCACAACTGCTACAGATGGCAGTAACCTGGAAGTGGAACTCAAAAGGCCGATGAAGTCATTTTCAAAGAAACCAATCGTACAGGTATGGCTTGTCATCAAGAGTACATAACCCCCCAGAGTGTGCAACTCCCACATACCCTGTTGTCCCGACAGAATTTCAAGTTGACGTCATTATTTATGACGCAATGCTCCTTGCAGCAGTGATTTACAACATGTGTACGGGTGTCAACGCATCACACGTTTTTCTTTGCAATAATTTGTACAGGATCGATCGGCTTCGGTCAACCACAGGTTCCGGATTCGTCTGATAATCCGTGTACAGTGCGCATTGCATCATCAAAATGACGTCAACTTGAAATTCTGTCGGGACAGCACCCATAGTGGAGTTGCACACTCTGGGGGGTTATGTACTCTTGCTTGTCATGGATACTTGTGTGTTATGTCTTTCACCCACCTTTATACATGATGGTGTTAAGCGCAATAAACGATCTTTTATGTCGCGTCGAGCGAAGAGTCTTTGCGAAAAACTCAATGTACAGTGCACTGTACATTGCAGCGAAATCGGTGTATTCAACTGTACTGCACGCGATCAAATTTTGCTGTCAAATGAAAAGAACAGCGAGAAGGGAAACGGGAGCTGGAAAAAAAACTGTTTTCTTTTATCATCAGGACCAACTTAGCCAGCTAAGCCTCGAACAAGATATCCGTAATTCTCCTCTTGCACTTCATACTCTCTTTGGCGCCAACTGGCTCAGTAGACTACTCAATGTGGCACACCTCGGTTCATCTTCATTGCGCTCCTTCTTTTTTTGTCGCTCGTCATGTCGCAGAAGTGATGTTGTGCATCTACAATATATACCGAGCATTGTGCCTGTGGGCAGCATTGAGTTTACATGTGGTACAACAATCTTACATGTAGTGCTGTGTGCGTGCGGGCGCATGTGTGTGCGGATGCGTTTGTTTGCTTGTTTGCTTGCTTACCTTAGCTGGATGTGGTTGGAGCACTAGGTATCTTCATTGCCCTGTCCGATGGCGTGATTGGTATCTATGACTTGGAGACGTGCAGCCCGCGTGGACAGCTACAGAAGAGTCGCGGCGCAAACTGCTTTGCCGTTCATGTACAAGGCAGTGGTAAGAGAAGGCAGTGAATGCCTATACTGGGCCAGGGTTTACACTGCAGACTTTGTGTCCGATTCTGTCTAACATGCAACTGCATCAAAGGAAACAGTTGTGTTCGAATCGTGTGCAGAATAAGTGGGTGAACCCAGCACAGATCCTGCTGCAGCTTATCACCCTGAATAGAGTGGTTTCACATCGTATCACTGTTGGTTCCACTGTCCACATGCCATGATCACTTTCTACACAATTGTCACATTGCAAAGATACAAAGTCACTCTATACCTGATTTGGCTAAAATCCAAAGTGGAACATTTTTTTATCTACATCCGACTCCTTGAGAAGTTGACCAGAGTACTAGTAAAGGGCTGTGCATCTTTGCCAGGCGCCGGCATGTATGTAAACCAAGTCAAAGTTTGCTCATTTCTTCCGTTGCTCTAAATTAGCCTCTAATACTGTCTTATGTTGTTTGCCTGTGTCTACCTGCTCAGGGAAATCGCAGAATGTCTTGCTTTGTGTGTCAGTAAAGCGTCATTTAGAGGTTGGTGGCTTCAAAGGAATGGTGCTCATAATGTTATGAACTACATGTAGTCGTGAAGATGATAGGTCGATGGCGAAATGCCCGGGAGATGTGTGTGTGTGTGTGTGTGTGTGTGTGTTTTGTGAGCGTGGGGAAATTTCGTGATTATAGACTTGTTTGACATGTTTCCAGTACGCATGGGCCAGAAGCGGTTCTCCTGGCCTTTCTAGGTCGCAAGTCACTTTTTAACGAGATGCCTGGGATATCAGTATACCTGACATGCCTGCTTACTAGCTGTTACATTGTTAGTTTCTCATGAACCTCACCAGTGTATTACCATGTTATATGTTGTCTGGCCCTTAGGTACATCAATGGAACTCGAGAGAAGGCCAGTTTGTGCCCCTTGGGGTGAGTGCTGTGTGTGTTTATTCCATGCCTGTTGTAATGCCATTATACTGATATACTGATATGTACATGTACATGTGCTTTTGTAGTGAAATCAGGTGAGTGTGAGTGCGGGGAATAACGTCTATCGAAATCCACTTGCTCTATCTGAACAATGAACATGTACAAGTACTAGTCATGAGAAACCTGGATAGCACTGACTGAACTCAATTGAAACATGTCTTGTCCGTCCAATGCTCCCTTCCACCGTCATGATGTCTCTTGAAGTGTTTATTCCTTAGTAGTTTAACCCGTGTCAGTCAAGGAGAGGATTTCGTTGTCCAATCCCGGATGTGTTATCTCTGCTCGCTTGCCCTCTGCACAGTCGGATTTGAATGTTCCCGACACGGCCAAGGCGCTGGCGTGGTGCGGTGATTCTATCTGCGTTGGCTTCAAACGAGAGTACACCATGGTCAAGGTAAGCATTGTGACTGCTCCCAGGATGGTGACAGGGTGGTTATGATAGGACACTCGGTAACATGAGTTTGTGTGACAGGGTGGTTATGACAGGACACTCGACAACATGAGTTTGTGTGACAGGGTGGTTATGATAGGACACTCAGTAACATGAGTTTGTGTGACAGGGTCATTATGACAGGACACTCGACAACATGAGTTTGTGTGACAGGGTGGTTATGATAGGACACTCGATAACATGAGTTTGTGTGACAGGGTGGTTATGATAGGACACTCGATAACATGAGTTTGTGTGACAGGGTGGTTATGATAGGACACTCGATAACATGAGTTTGTGTGACAGGGTGGTTATGACAGGACACTCGATAACATGAGTTTGTGTGACAGGGTGGTTATGATAGGACACTCGATAACGTGAGTTTGTGTGACAGGGTGGTTATGATAGGACACTCGGTAACATGAGTTTGTGTGACAGGGTGGTTATGACAGGACACTCGATAACATGAGTTTGTGTGACAGGGTGGTTATGATAGGACACTCGATAACATGAGTTTGTGTGACAGGGTGGTTATGATAGGACACTCGATAACATGAGTTTGTGTGACAGGGTGGTTATGACAGGACACTCGATAACATGAGTTTGTGTGACAGGGTGGTTATGATAGGACACTCGATAACATGAGTTTGTGTGACAGGGTGGTTATGATAGGACACTCGATAACATGAGTTTGTGTGACAGGGTGGTTATGATAGGACACTCGATAACATGAGTTTGTGTGACAGGGTGGTTATGATAGGACACTCGATAACATGAGTTTGTGTGACAGGGTGGTTATGATAGGACACTCGATAACATGAGTTTGTGTGACAGGGTGGTTATGATAGGACACTCGATAACATGAGTTTGTGTGACAGGGTGGTTAGGATAGGACACTCGATAACATGAGTTTGTGTGACAGGGTGGTTAGGATAGGACACTCGATAACATGAGTTTGTGTGACAGGGTGGTTATGATAGGACACTCGATTACATGAGTTTGTGTGACAGGGTGGTTAGGATAGGACACTCGATAACATGAGTTTGTGTGACAGGGTGGTTATGATAGGACACTCGATAACATGAGTTTGTGTGACAGGGTGGTTATGATAGGACACTCGATAACATGAGTTTGTGTGACAGGGTGGTTGTGATAGGACACTCGATAACATGAGTTTGTGTGTTGTAATGTCAGCGGCAGTCTATGTATCACACTCTTTGCAAATTTGGTTGCTTTTTCGCCACTGATTGCTGCAGTAGGTCATCACATATTGTGCGTGTTCGCTGATTTAATCCTGACAGCGACAGCGCAGTGCCTTTGCATGAATGTACCTATGCGTGATGGCATGTGTCTGTCTTGTTCTTACTTTGATGGGAATGCTATGTTTAAACACGTACATACACATGTGCACACATTGTCTATAGGTCACTGGTGGTGCGCTGACAGAGTTGTTCGGTACCGGCCGGCATGATCCAGTCATCGTGGCTCTTGGTCCTCACGACATTGCACTCGGCAAGGATGAGATGAGCATATGTATAAACCACGAGGGCAAGCCAACACAAAAGCAAGCGCTTGTCTGGAGTGACCCGCCGTTTGCGCTCGGTAAAAAGACATTATTTTCTCTATGAAGTGATGCATCGCTCTGTATTCTCATTCTATAAGTCATTGCAAGGAGGATGCTTTGAGAAAGTGATTTTGTAAACGTGAATGAGGGCCCCTAACACTGCCTCTCTCACTCTCTCTGTATCTTTGTCTGTCCGTCCGTCCGTCTCTCTTGTCTCTCTCTCTCTCTGTCTCTGCCTTTCTCTCTTTCTCTCTGTCTGTCTCTCTCTCCCCTCTCTCTCTCTCTCTCTCTCTCTCTCTCTCTCTCTCTCTCTCTCTCTCTCTCTCTCTCTCTCTCTCTCTCTCTCTCTCTCTCTCTCTCTCTCGTAGTTTGTTATATTGTGTGTTTGTTTGTTTGTTTTGGTTGATATGTTTGGCTACAGAGAGTGTCGAGCCGTATGTTGTTGGTCTTTTGCCGAAGTAAGTGATTGGTGATGTTTAGTATCATGATTGCATATGTAGTTCTCTGTGCTTGTCAACCAGTGGCTTTCTTCGTCGACGGTCTTGCCTTGTCAGGTCATGATTGATGTTAGTGACGTGGCCTTTGTCTTGGATTTGTGCTGCAGGGTTGTGGAGGTTAGAACAATGGAGCCACGCATGCTGGTACAAAGCTTCTCACTGGACAAGGCACGGTTTAT